TCAGTCTTAAACAACTCTCTTTAAATGAACAGAGAGAAATGTAAAGCCTTTGGAAAATAAGCCTTACAATATTGAAAGAAACATTACCTTGACAGTTTTAGAGGCTTGGATTTATGGAATGACCAAGTGTCAGGGCAAAGGTAAACAGAGTCAACTAGAGAACCTTTCAGTTCTCTAGTATTTGCCAACCATTATGTCACAGGAATCTATAGCCAACTTGTGAAGCAATCTATTGGGGATGCAAAGTCTTGAGTGTCTGGGTTCTTTGAATTCAACTGTGGATTTGGTTATTTGACCAACACCTTCAAACAGATAGGATCACCAAGCTGTCTTCTTATTCAGCTGAACATTTATAAAATATGTGTATAAAAAGTCCATTGATCTCATGTCTTACCTAAGACAGTATCTTTTATCTGCAAGTACTGGTTAGTATGTTGAAGGCACTATGCTAGATGTATGCTGAGTGACCTCAATCACTCAGAGCTGACAGTCTTACTCTTTGTTAGCACTTGTTCAAAGATAATAGCTTATATGTGCTTATCTTGTGCTCTTTCAAATGTTTTTGCTTTATAAATGGATCTCAAAGGTATTGCTGATTCCATTGTTGGTATAAAATGCTTCTACTACTAAACTTTCTTTGCATGTTACTAAATAATTGCTGAAATATCTCAGTTAATACCTGAGGCAATAAGAACAGTATTAAGGCTGGGCATCACTGGCTCATACCTGTAAACCTAGCTATTCAGGAGGCTGAGATTTTAGGATTGCTGTCCAAAGCCAGCTTGGGCAAGAAAGCCTGTGAGAGTCTTAGCTCCAATTAACAACCAAAAAAGCAAGAAGTGGAGCTGTGGCTCAAGAGGTAGAGCATTAAGCCTGGAGCACAACAGCTCAGATAGAATTCAAGCCCTAGAATTGGCAAAGGAAAAAAAAAGTATTAATAAGTTGGTACCTTCATTGGTTTCATTATTACAAGTACAGTTGACTGATAGGAAAGCTATAACTTCAAAAATTAAATTTAAAAGTGTGTCATCAGTTTTTAAATTCAGTGACAAAATTAGTTCATTGGACAAAAACCCGTTAGGTACTAACAGGTACTAACTAGTAATGCTAGCGAGAAAGGTGAGGTGATTCAGAAAGATAATTCTGATTGTCACAAGCAGAAGGCGTCTGATTCTTTGCAAACGTCCTTTGTTCAAAACTCATTTGGTGGCTCAGTGAAGCAAGTCCACATCTTGACATGCCAGCATTTCAGTGCCTCTGCCCACCCCATCTTGACTAGTTAAACGTTAAAGATCAGCAATTCTGTCTGTCAGCACTTGGAAGGCAGCCTCCTTGCCTACCAAGTCTTAACGGCAAACCATCTCAAAGCATGGCTGGGTGACCTGGCTCATTTCGACCTCTCCACCACCACTGAACACCTGACAACAGTTGGATCCTTATCAAGCTGGTTAATATGGTTCTTGGTAATGTGCTTTATCCATCGACATGCAGATGGTTTTCTCAAATATCTCTTTGTGGTGCATTTATATGGATAATTGAATCACTATAATTTTCAAATATTGCTTTATGGGTAAGCACATTGAATTTGAAAAAATGTATTTTATCTATTATAATAATATAGTTTTATATAATATACAATATTATATAATATGATTTTCTATAATATACATATAATATATAATGTAATATATAATATATATTATGATCTCATGACAGATATGAATGCCAACTTAGATGGTATTCCTCTTACGTAAATTACCACCTAGATGGGATCACAAACAGCTTAATGGTTGATGTGGGATCTTACTAACGTTTTACCTGGTCTAGCCTCAAACCATGATCCTCCTGATCTCTGCCTTCCTAATAGTTGAGATTATAGCTATGTGGCCTCCACACAGCTTTGATATCTATACTACCACCAATTAGTAGTGAGGTAACAGCCTCTCACTATGCAACCGTATGCACTGTAGCATGTGCAGAAATGGCCTAGTAAGTAGCATGTAAGTAAAGAAAAAATTCACTTTAACTTCAGATATTTAAACATTGGATTTTTGGATCATGTGAACATTGGGCCTGGCTAACTCAGACATATTCATTAGAGAAATATTAGTATTTATAAGTGGATATTGAAAAGTTATATAAAATAGTAATGAGGACTAAGAGTATGATAATTTTGAAGTACAAAATAGCAATGTCTATCAAAATTACAAATGCATACACTGGTTGACTTAGTAAATATTCTAGTTTGAGAAATTTTCCCTCTAGTCATAGTTATAACATGTGTGTCAACCTGAGCATACAAAATGTTATTTGTAGCCATGTCTATAATGATAAAAGTGAACCACAACATCCCAAACATAAATTGCCATTCTTATTCAAATACAAGCACATACATATTTGAATGGAATTTTCTTGTTTATTATTTACCTATCTACTTGTGTATTTATTAATTCACATAATGTTCAATATTTTATAAATGTATACATTCCTCTGTAATTTTAAATATTCACTATGGATATGGTTGAATTTTTCCTTTCCATCACACACACACACACACACACACACATATATTACTGAATGGGGCCTCTTGAGCAACACCTCCAGTCCTCCATCTGTTTTATCTTGTTCAATGTAGGCACAGCATATATGTGCTGAGGGAAGAGTGTGCTTACACCTAAGTATTTGAAGTGTTGTCTGTATTAGGTCTATATTAGTGTTGTCTGAAATTAGTGCCCACTCTTGGCAGTCGGACCTAATTTTATGAGATGAATTTGTTTCTAAGCAGTATAGATGATAAGACAGCTATATTTGTAATGATTCTTTGGTTTAATGTAATCTATTCAAGATAGGTTGAACAGAATGGATTGTTTCAGAAGAAAGGATATAACTTTTCAGGGAAATATTAAAGGGTCTAAAAATGAAAGAAACTGTATATGCTTAACCAGATATTCCTGGGTTTATCATAAAGTACTCATTTGAACACACAGAAAATGTGATAGTTCTGGAAGACCTAATTGACATCTGGTCAGCAGACAGCACAACACCATTAGTTGAATGTCCTCACTTTACCCTTCCACACAGGACTTTAGCTAGTGGCTGCTTCCACAAGATCTCCCATGTCTTCCCTAAACAGAATTTGCTTGGAATTGTGTGCAAACCCACCAAAAAACTAGGTGATACATTTCTTTTGGGGGTTAGGGGGGTCTTGTCTCATTTTTCTTTTAATTTCTATCAACACTTTTATACTTGAAAATTTCTCAGATCAGATGTTTTGAATTGACACTGCTCTGTCAAAAATGCCATGGTAGATCTTAATCTGGGATATCATAAGAAATAAACTGGCCACTCAGCACCCTACTAGGGGTTTGACTGCACTTAAGGGGCTCATTTGCAGCCCACATTCCCCTAAGCAAATCTGTGGAGCTCATTAGAAATACATGTTACCCAAAGTTTTAGAAATTATTACACATCCTCAACTGATTACCCATTTCTAGGAGTAGTATTTCCCTTCAAAGTCTGTATCTTAATCTGAGTCTCATCTGTTTGGGTTTTTTTTTTAACTGTATTTTTTTTGTCTTTTCTTTTTTGGTACTGGGGATCGAACCCAGGACGCTGCGCTTGCTAGGCAAGCGCTTTGCCACTGAGCTACATCCCAGCCCAATCTGAGTCTCATCTGTAAGCCTGAGAAATGTCTGGAATTCCCTTAAACTGTAGCTGTTGGGATTAGGATTTCCAGAGATTTGGGGAGGGACACACAGATCCTCCCCACCTTTCCAACCCTACTGCCCACTTGCCCTTGTACAAAGGTCAGGGCTGACCTTAGGTGCATTCTTATTTCCTAACACTTGTGTTTTTGTATGTGACTTTCTATTGTTGCTGATGGTGTAGAAACAGTTTTAAATAGTTGTATCATTTTATTTCCAGTTCTTTTACTCAGGCTGTTTTTCTTCACAGACAAATTCCCAGAAGGTAGACACTAGTAGCCTTATTGGAGAGGCGAGGAAACTGGGGCTCAAGAAGTACTGGATTAGAACCCAGAGTTCCAAAGCAACCTGGAGTAAACTATGAATGTTAAGTCCTGCCTTTGATACCTATGCAAATCACACAGTACTGTTCATGGCTGACAGTATTACAGGCTGTGACAGGTTCTTGGGTCCTTTTCATAAAATAATCAATGATGAACAACTATAGGGTTTGTACTTGAAATGTGACAGCTTTGGACCTGAGCTCCACCTCTACTTCTGATATTCATTGTGAGATCATGAGCATTTTATTAGTATGTTGTAAAATGGGGTTGTTGGAAAGAAGAAAAGGAAAGAAGACATCTAACCTAGGGCCTGGACCATTGCAGACATGCAATGAAGAGTAGCAAACAACATTTTTGCAGGCAAACTGTATTGTATCACTAGTCTGAGGGCCTTTTTTTTTCCAGACTATTTATTTCTTAAAAACGTATTCCCATGGCCTACTTTGAGAGGCCACCCAGACAGTGCTTTCTGGAGTATTAACATCACCAGGTATCCTAAGATGCCGATGTTAATTTAAAGAAATATGGAATAGACTTGCACTCCTAACATTTGCAGCGATAGCAATGCTGGTGAGCCATGGCCCACACTTTTGAAGCAAGAAGATGTACCCGGACAGCAAGGACATCAAGACCAGGGATGCCTTGGTCTTAATTACACAGAGCAGATGTTTTATACACAAATTGCTATGATCCTGCCCGGAATGTCTAATTCAGCAGGTGTCGGGTGGCTCAGAAAGATCCTGGTTTAAAAAAAAAAAAAGCTCCCAGTGATTGTGAGGCTGCTAGTCAGAGTACTACACTTGTCCTGATTGGTAGAAGGCTGTTAAGTGAACAATCAGAAGAGAATTGTAGTTAGTTCCAATAGGTAATGGCTTTGGGGAAATCATTTTTAGGGAGCACCCTATAAAAGCTGTCCCCCCTCACACGTCTAGCCGGCCCCTTCCCTAAGCCCGCCAGGATGTCAGAGCGTTACCTTATAGACATTGATGGGGATGTCAATGATGATGTGTAGCAGGTCCCCCAGCGCCAGGCTGGCGATCAGAATATTGGGGCCATTCCTCATGCACTTGTTCTTATAGATGATTCTCAACAGCGTGGAGTTTCCAATGATACCCAGTACGAATACGAGGCAGGACACAACAGTGTTGATGTATTTAAAAGTCTCCTTGATCTCGATGTTTCCTTGGCATGGGGGAGGGGGCTGGGACCGCGGCGGCGGGGCTGCAGCCACGGCCCCTCCTTTAGTCACCTCTGCAGGTGTTGGTGACCAAGACAGACTGGAGTTCGAATCATGTATCCAGGAGGTCTTCGTGGGTGGCATCATGATCTCTTCGGTCCCCTGAAATGAGCTGGTGGCTCCGGCAGGCGGGAGTCCACTCTCTTCTCCCCAGACCCCCACCAGTGCACAGGCAAGAACCAACGCCATCAGGGCGCGTCTGCGCGGGCTTGGCGGCGGCTGCATGCCCATGCTTGCTGCTTGCACTGAGCTTCGGTGTGGCCGCTGCTGCGCTGTTGACAGTCTGGAGACCCGGCTGGGGAATGAAGACCAGACCGGGCTCTCGGGACCCCAGCCACGCCCCTGCCAGGCACCGGACACTACTCCGCGCCCGGCCACGCCTCTGCGAGCGAGGCTGACTCGCCGAGGCCCCGGGGCCCCCGCGGCGCTGCCGCCGCGGCCACTGCGCACAAAAGTAACTCAAGTTTGCGCGCCAATGGGGAAACTTGGGCAGGCGTCAGCCGCCGCCGCCGGTGCGCCGCGCTCCTCCCACACCCCCTCCGCAGTGCTTTTCTTCCCTTAGGTCCCTTCTGGGGGGTGGGGGTGGGGGTGGATTACTTGCCGTAGGGCTGAGAGTTCTAGAAGGGATGTCTGTCCAAGCAAAGCTCCTCCAAGCACTTCTCTAAGCCAGGAGAGAGACGAGTGAGTTTCAGTTCAAAGTTTTGGGGATCGGGGGAATGAAGTTATTTCTCTCCTACACACCCAACCTCTGAACCCAAGACTGCTCCCGCTGGATGGAAGCCGCTTCCCTCCGTCCAGCAGCGGAGAGGTTCCCCCCCCTCCCCACCTCCACCGCCCCTCTACCCTGCGCGCTCCGGGAGCGCACTGGAGACTGCATTAACCTCAGCCTGGAAGCTTCTGTCCTGATTCCTACTGGTTTCCAACCCTCACGAGCCTCTCCTTCACCCCGATCGCATTTTCATAAGCCTTTACTTATAGTTTAACAAGCCCTTACTTCTACATGTATCACTTTCACTCACAGGTCGGTTTTAATGCTCCAGAGCTAAATGCTCACCCTGGTTGTGATTCAGTGTCTAGGCAGTATGGTTACCTCGCAGATCAGATGTACCAGGCACAGCTGACATCAGCCCTGGACTCGTCCAGGACTCACAGAGACACTTTTGGGACAATAGGTAGTCTGCTGGGTTCCAGTCCACTCGGCTCCCTGGGCGGAGGGAGCAGAACGCGCCTCCCTTGGGTTTGCAGGCGAGGCTGGTTCTGATAAAACGCTGTGCGAGTGCCACAGAGAGTAGCCCTTCACCCATCGCCCAGACAAGTACTTTTATTCATTCCCCCTTTGCCATCAATCACCGCCAGACTCCTCCAGCGCTTTCCGACAGGGCTGCAACCTTTCCCCTTGGGCGATGCCTGGACAGCATCAGCTCTGGTTGCCCGCTGGAGAGGGCAGTCCTGGGCCAGAGTCCTGTCCCATGAGGCTGTGTATTTGTCTTCGTTCTAAGTGCTTCTAAAGAAGAGCCTAACGCGCTCCCACGACGCTCTGGGAACTACAGGCAAGAGCAAACCTCTGCATTAAACTAGACTTCTAATGTTGAGGGAGACTGCTTTGCTTACAAGTAACGAGCTCTTCCGAGACCTGTGAGGCCTAGTTGATGTGGGGGCTTGGCTCGTTGTTTTGTTTTGCCTTTAAGTTTCAAGTTCACAGAGGCCCCAGTATGGAAAAAAGAAAAGATCCTTTCTTTTCAATCCCCAACCCCCTCCACCCAGCACTGCTCCATAGGAGGACTAAAAGTCACCCCCTAGCTTTCTTTCTCAAATGTATCTTTTCTCCCGCTTCCTGAAGCGTCATCTTCAGACCAGCTCAGGGGCTTTTATACTGGATGGACCCACGAAGGACCCAATGATGTAGGAGACATAAAAATAGCCAGAAAGTTGCCATGCAAATTCAACCTGATGTTCCAATAAAACAAATCCTATCCACCGTCCTTCCTTCCTTCTTTCCCCCTTCTCTCTCTCTGTCTGTCTGTCTGTCTCTCTCTCTCTCTGTCTCTCGGGACTGCCGTTTAGAAAGGCACTTCTGCTGTCCCTTAGCTTTATTCATTCAAGGCTAGTATTCCATTACTTGAGTCTCAGCTCCACTTGCAGCTTTTTGGTGGTCAAATTGGAGATAAGAGTCTCACAGGCTGTGTTATTCAGGCTGGTTTTGAATCTTAGTCCTAAGAGCTCAGCCTCCTAAGTAGCTAGGGTTACAAGTATGAGCCACAGGTGTTCAGTTCCTATCCATTTTTATGGCATAGAGGGAAATAATAGTGACGGGCAGTTTTGCCCAAAGATTGCATTGGGCAAAGAAATTCAGGTTGTACAGTGCTCTGGTGCTACTTTGCTGTTTTGTTAGCAGAATCCTGGATGTATATGTGAAGTTAAATGCAGAAAAGTATTCCACGTTGCAGTTCCCGACAGCGATGAAAGCTCTTGTTTAGTAGCTTGTGTAGGTGGATAAACCAACAGTAGGAAATAAACAGTAGGAAATCAAATTTTTATTTTAAAAGATGAACTTTATAAGTGTGAAATGTAGCTAAGAGGTGATTAAGGAGTAAAATTTAAAGGAATGCAAAACGGTCTGGCTGTGAGTGCTAATCCCAAATCTGGCTGTTTTGAGGGCAGTCCTCATCCTCCCTGTCTGAATGAAAACAAGGTCAACATTCAATTACTTCAGAAACAAATCATGATGCACAGCGTGTGTGAATAACTGGAACTAGATGGATGAAGATTTTGCTCAGTTGACTCCACAGAGGGTGATTTTGAACCTGCTCTGTACACAGCCTTCTTCCCTTTAATACATGACTTCGTCTCTTGCCCCTTCACCATCATCTCCATTCACACAAGTACTCCACTCAGTCTTGGAGGATCTTTCCAGTCTCCATTGGGGTCTACCTCTTCCCTTTTCTCACAGCATCTTCTCATTGTGAGCTAACTTAACACTTGATCACATACAGACTCCTGACCTTATAGGAATCCATTGCACTTTTTAATATATATATATATATATATATATATATATATTATTGTAAAAATGCTGTACAAAGGGGTTATAATTACTGGAGTAAGGCAATGAGTACATTTCTTGTTGAGTGTTGTTACCTCCTCCTTTGTTTTTCTCCTGTAATCCCCACCTCCTCCCTTCCTCCCCCTACAAGTTGTAAAGTTCATTTGCAACATAGTGACTTGTGAGGATCACTGTTGCAATAGATCATCCTGTGGAATTCATTGCTTTTTAAGAGTAAAGACTGAATTCCTGGTTTTATTTTTCTGTGTAATCATAATGCCTGCCACAAGTTGAACTCAAGAAATACTTTTTTGTGTGTGAAAATACCATACAGAGGGGTTACAATCACATGGGCAAGGTAATGAGTACATTTCTTATCAAGCATTGTTACCTCCTTTGTTTCTCCTTCCCATCCCTTCCCATCTCCCCCTCCCACCCACCCACCCAAGAAATACTTTTGAGAGATCATGGCATTCAAAATTTAGTAACTCTGTTTAGTAACTCATTAGCCTTAACACCCAAAGCCAAAATGTTTTCAGTAAACATACCCATTTGTTATTTAGAATTTAAATTCCAGTGTAACAGATATATAGATTCTTTACAATAGGATCTATCACCTGTATTAGGTATTTTATTCACAGTTGGTTTTTTTTCCTGAACTGCTGTCTTCAAGCTTGATATTTGTTTGTTTTTCATGATTTTATAGGTAGTCAAATTGAGTCTTAAGAATTCATTCCTCTTCATATGATTTAATTGGTTTTGGAGTTAGGATTTTAATCCATCTGGTTACTAGACTGTACTTGGTGGATTAATTTATTCAGAGGAATTCTAAATAGATCTTTTCTATTATGTGGGGAGAAATGGTGTTTTATACATTAGCAACATTTAATTGAAGCTAAAGCTTAATCATTTCACATTCAAATTAAAGAGAACCATGTAGAATGTAAGGATGAAATTTCTGAACCTCATGAGTGATTGTCTTCAAGTCATAAGAAATTAGGTCTTGATCTCTCCTTTTGTAAAATGTCAGGAGAAGAAAGAATTGAAAGTATTCCTGCTCTAAACTGGGCACTGGTGGATCACACCTGTAATCCTAGCTACTCAGGAGTTCTGAGCAGAAAAGTCTGTGAGAACTCTTATTTCCAATTAACCACCCAAAAGCAAGAAGTGTAAATGTGGCTCAAGAGGTAAAGTACATCCTTGAGTGAAAAAAGCCAGGTGAGAGACTCTGAGTTCAAGTCTTACTACCAATGCACACACATAATTACTTTTCTAATTAATTAGTCAGTGTGAGTGACATATAATGTGGTAAAAGTGTCCTGAAGTGCAGAACTATGAAAAAAACGGATCTGTAATCAAAGTTTCTTCTTTTTTGTCTCCACTGTCTTTAGTCATGCCTTGGGCAGTATTGCTATTATATAGCTTTTTTGTTTTTCTTTCACTGTATAACATGGAATCTTTGAGGCTCAACTTTATTTATAAATTCATTAGTAATGAAGTATAGTGTACATTTCATTTGTATATTTGAGATAAATCTTGCCTCAGAGTTTAAGAATCATGGCCTGGCACTGTGGCTCAAGTGGTAGTGTGTTTGCCTGGCATGCTTGAGGTCCTGGGTTCAACCCCCTAGTACTACTAAGTTAAAGGATCCTTTCCTGAAAACTTTTGGGTTTGAGGTAAATTTGTATTTATTAAAAATACATTTCTGAAAAGGTTACTTATACTTAGGATCATTTTTACAAACTTGCTTTTATAAAGTTGCTGTTTTTTTTCTCAAAGTATTCCAGGAAATCTGTCAAAATTCCAGCTTGGCTAAGCTCACTTTCCCAAATGAGAAAGGCAGTGGCTAGAATTTTGACAGATTTCCTGGAATACTTTGGATATAAGTGGTTTCTTCTCCTTCAAGGGCTCTAACGAGGAGGTCTTGAAGACATAGTTGAATGTTCTTCAGAAGTCAGTCCTCAAAGAGGTTTGCCAGGGGGACATTACCCAAAAACCTTTTCCCCCGGTAAGAGAAAAAATGAAAAGCCCTTTTAGCTTCAAAGGAGGGACACTTTTATGTAATCTTCTTGATATGAATGCACCCTTTGGAATCTACCTTGAACTCTGTAAATCCCTGGTGCTGAGGGACATGGTATGAAAAAATGTAGGCAGAGCTGGTTCAGTTGCCTTTCCACATATTCCCTGAGGAATAGATCCAATCATCAAATTGTGCTTGAAGCGGGAGCACAGGAAAGA